ATAGATAGATAGATAGATAGATAGATAGATAGATAGATAGATAGATAGATAGATAGATAGATAGATAGATAGATAGATAGATAGATAGAGAACTTTAAGAAAGACCCATGTGGTCTCACCGGAGAAGTAATGGGTTACTTTGACAACCTCCACCTGGCTGTTATTGACTCGCCAAAGCTGACAGGATGTGTACTGGTCGACTGTCATCCCACGAATAGAGCCTTGGTTTCCCTTTGTCACCACGATATTTTTTCCCCTGAAAAAGGATATAAGACAGTTTTAGTTTTAGTGGGAGTTTTACGGCACTTTTAAACACATAGGGCAATTAATATATAAGTGCGGAAGAGTAGAGGTGGTACTAGATAGTAACATACAAAGAACAGAAGAAGGAGAAATAAGGGCAATAGATGTCTGACAGGAAAGGAACAACCCAAATCAGAGCACCCGCTCGCCACTCCCATAGAATAGAGTAAACATGCTTAGGAGGTCACTTGCTTATAACGACCAAAATTGTTAACGACCACTCCAAAGGAACAATTGTTCATTTTTTCTAAGTGTTTGATAAACGTCTCTTTGCCTATTTACTATTGCTGTCCGCGCTCGGATGCTAAAGATGATTCATGGCCTGTTTGTGTCATTGTAAGTTGTAGGCACTCTCGACCTTACTGCTTCAACGTCCATTTCTTCTTTCAGAGTGGAATAATAACTTATACGTATTTCTTCACTTAGGGGGGTATACATGTGATAACTTATTTCATATCATATTAAATTATTCTACACCTCGTAGAATTAATCAGCTGTCATTGATTGTTTGGAGCGAAAGAAGATCAATAGTTTTGTTGTTGTTGTTACTGTTGCTGTTGTTGTTTTTGTTGTTGTTGTTGTTGTTGTTGTTGTTGTTTTTGTTGTTGTTGTTGTTGTTGTTGTTGTTTTAGTACTGTGTGACGGCTGCGAGATCACCTCGTACTTGGATATCTGTCCCGGGAATTATTTCTTTCCAGAGAATGTCAGTGAGCTTTGTTTCGGTAGCGCCATTGATTTAATCCAACGTCTTCTAGTTGTTGACCCTCAAGCTCACTACTTGGCTACCGACGTCCTGCAGCATCCTTTTCTGACCGCAAACGTGAGTGGTGACGTCGTCAACATCACCGCCATCCTCATCACTGATTGGCAATTGAAACTGACCATAGATAACCTACTCTCGTGGACTTGTTTATAAAACAGAATATCGAACTGTCGGGGAGCATACGCTAGATTTTCTTTCTGATCTGGAGGCCCATTGGTTGATAGATTGATGAAGGTGAATAATGGTTCTTGGGGTGGATGGATTTCCCATTGGACTGTTAATTAACTTTAAAATTGCCTACAGGGTTCTGAAAATGTGTAAGGGTAGGTAAATAGTGTCCTTTAAAATTCAAGTCGTTTTCAGACCCTGGATCCTTTTCTGGACCGTATTGTTACTGTTTCTGCTACGGGTGTCAGTTCCAAGTGTACCCAGGACTACAGTCTACACAGCCCTCGATGCCATGCCCACCGTGATAACACACCATAGGGAAGACAAGGATAATTAAGGGAAAAGGAAATACATGTATATGTATACCTGACTGTATACATGTATTGGCCACATTCTTCATCGTCTCATTCCATCTCACCACCACCGTAATCCATTCAAATAAAATTAAATACACTTTAAAGTATGTGTTTCATTTTATCTGTTTGTTGGTTTTCTTTTGATTATTATTTCAGAACAAACGTACATGTGACTGTCTATTTGGCTTCCACTGCCATTTCTTTTTTTTTCCACCCTAGTTTTCCCCGTCCTGAGCATCACTGTGTACGTTTTCTTGTCATTATTCTTTAACTCTTTCTGTACCATGCACTGACACAGTAGCCTTTTCATAATACACTATTTCATTATCCGTCGAGAATTCTTGATGTAAAAAGAGGTGGTATCTCTTTGGGGAGGATTCTGGGAGGTCGGACTGCCTCGCCCGCTACCCAAGAGAGGCGGTTGCTCTGGCGAAGAGCACGCTCTTCGGGGCTCCCAACATTTCGAACGGATAGGCTACCACACACACACACACAACAACAACAACAACAACAACAACAGCAATGGCAACCTAAGTTACATCACCATCACCATCACCATCATCACCACCACCGCCATCTTTACCACCACCAACAACGATAGCAACCAAATGTACACCACCACCACCACCACGATTACCGCCACAAACTACGAAGTATGTCGTGCTACTCACGGAAACCCAGATGGTCCAGTCATTCGCAACATTGCCAGTGGCTCCTGTATCTTCCCATCTGCTTTGACCCCACCAACGTAGAAGGACTGTGGTGCGCTCTTTATATCTTGCACTGTGCATTTGCCTGTGTAATCATCATCATCACCATTTACATTGTTTTAATTACGATAAGAAAAAACAACAAACAACAAAAATCATCATCATCATCATCATCATCATCATCATCATCATCATCATCATCATCATCATCATCATCAACATCATCATCATCATCATCACCGTTGTCGTTCTGGTTTAGTGATATGGGTGTTGTCTTTTTTTTCGTTTATTTTTTTTTCGTCGTCTATGTTTGTTTTTTCTCTCCAATCTCCACCCCTTCCCCCCTTCTAGTCTAGTTTTATTCCTTTTCCTCTTGTCTCTCCACCTCCTCCTCCCCTCCTCCTCCTCCCCCTCCTCCTCCTCCTCCTCCTCCCCCGTGCGCGCGTACCTTTTCTTCGCCCCAGTTATTTCTTTCTGTCTTCGGCATTTCCCAAGAGCTGTACAAACCTTTCCTCCTTTCTTCTTTTTTTTCCTTCTCTTTTTAATGTGTTATTATTTGAATCTAGACGCGGTCGTATTCTCTCTCCCCCCCCCCTCCTTCCACATACACACACTCCCTTCCAGTGGCTTTCTTCAAACTTTTTTGTTCCCCTTTTTCTTTTTATTCCGTGCACATTTCTCTGTCCCCTCCTCGACATTTTTCTAGAGAGCTGTGCGCCAACTTAAAAAAAAAAAAATTATTTACGTATTATTCCAAAGTGTTACCTCCACCACCACAGGTTTTTTTTCTAGACCCTCTACCCCTTTACTTCAAGATGATGTCGTCTCGCCTTTGATGGGCGCCTTGTGATTTATATTTTTAAGGGGTGGCGCACGATCCCGGAGTGCGCTTTGAACACCATACCATGTTCAGGGGTCTGTTCGCCAGTCAATCTCGCTCCAGCCACGGAACAATTCGGCCTTAGTGTCGGGGGAAAGCGGGTTTGAAACCCCGGGTGTCTGCTTGATTTACTGCTGCTGGCTGTTGGATAATTCAAGCACCATTACGTCCTGACTGCTGCTTGTCACAAATAAGGGGGGTGGTGGGGTTTTATTTGTTTGGTTTTTTTTTTTTGGTTGGGGGGTGTTACG